ATCTTTGATTATATAATTATTGTTATTATAATAATTATAAAGATAATTGGTGGACCTGTATGCATCTCTCTTACGTGTGTTATCTAGCAAAAGTTTATGGATTTGTTAAAAAGAAAAAAGAAAAAAAAAAGCAGTTCATTTCCCATCAGATCTGTGACTAAGAAGGTTTTCAATACGAGAGCTGAGAGACTTCCTTGAGACCAGCACCAAGTCACACTTACTGTTAATCAAACTGTTCAAAAAAGATGTTTGTCATGTGTAGGTGAATCTTTAAGTTCTAACGATTGAATTAAACTTGTAAAATTGAAATCATTTTGTTTTTTTCTAAAGATGTGAAATATTTCCATTATGTTTTTTAAGTAAAGACTTAAGCCCCATCATGTTTCGTTTGCATTATTTGCCAAGTTCTGACCAGCCCAACACACCAACATACACGGATCAGCCATAACGTTTAAACCACCTCCTTGTACCTACATTCACTGTACATTTAATCAGCTCCACTTACCATATAGCAGCACTTTGTAGTTCTGTAATTACAGACTGTAGTCCATCTGTTTGTCTGCATACTTTGTTAGCCCCCCTTTATCCCATTCTTCAAGGGTCAGAACCCCTGGGTGGTAGACCAGCACTGCAGTCACACTGATGTCGTAGTGGTGTTTGTGTGTTGTGCTGGTATGAGTGGATCACACACAACAGTGCTGCTTAAGTGTTTAGACACTGTCCACTCTATAAGACACCTTGTTGGTCCACCTTGGAGATGTAAAGTCAAAGATGATACCTGTTGCTGCAGTGTGTGTTAGTCATTCTCTAGTCCTTCATCAGTGGTCAAATGATGCTGTTGGCTGGATATTTTTGGCAGGGGGACTATTCTCAGTCCAGCAGTGACACTGAGGTGTTCAAAAACTCCAGCAGTACTGCTGTGTCTGAATCCCTCGTACCAGCACAACACACACTAACGCACCACCATCATATTAGTGTCACTGCAGTACTGAGAATGATTCACCACCCAAATAAGGCCTGCTCTGTGGTGGTCCTGATATTTTGAGGAATAAGGTACAAGGGGACTGAATGTAGAGAAACAGATGTTCTACAGTATCTAATTATATAACTAGGGTACTTTATATGGTAAGAGGATCTAATAAAATGGACAATGAGTGTAGAAACGTAAGGTGCCTATTTACATTAGCATTACCAGCTACGTAGCTGCACTGATTTGAGGTGATACTGGAGGGAACGGTGCTCAAGAAGACATAAGCTAACTTAAACGAGAATGAGCAAGTAGGATTATCTCACATAAGTCTGCTTATAACACCTCCTTTTGTAAATAATGCTCATTTCACGTCCGTGCCATAATGGCGAATTTAATCCACGCGCCACGCCCTCACGCCATGACGGACATCGCCGACGGCGCGAATACGGGGTCCCGCCTACTCCATTTACTCACATCTCATTGGCCGGAATTCAGTGTCGTCATGTATACCAACTACAATTGGTCGATCCAGCTGACAATCATCGGCGCTCCTTCCGAACTTTGCTGACCTGGAGGATTTGCCCGCTTTTGGAAATACGTCATAATGTATGCAGCTCCGAGGTCTCTGGTTGGACGAGCCAGGAGTCACTCAGCGTTCCCTCCTCTTCATAGGTTCCAATAGAGAAAAAAAACGGGTTTCCGTGTTGCTCCTATATCTGTTTTTTTCGCTGCCGTGCAGTCTGCCGATGAGCTGCGGCATCTTGTAGGGTGTAGGTTGACTCACAGTCTACTTTTAATACAGAGAACAGAAGACCTCTGTAAACCGCAATGGGCAACCCAAAAGTTTTCTTTGACATCACCATCGATGGCAAGAGTGCAGGACGGATTGTGATGGAGGTGAGCGATTATTCGCAGCGGTCCTTGCCGAACATGCTTCAAAGATAACCCTCTAAGTTAGCTAACCTAGCTAGCTAAGTTAGCCCTTAAGTCATTGAAATACCTGGAAGGATATTTTACTGGTACTGATGGTATCTGAGGATGCTGATCAGCTGGGTGCTATAACGAGATCCCTACCGGATTCCGACACGAACCTCAAGTTTCTTATTCAGATTTTCCCGTTCCACCTTAAATAGTGCAGTAGTTGCATTATGGCGCCTGAGGCGCTTACATTCTGAATGCAACTGCTACACCATTTAAGGTGGAACGGTACAATTCAAACAACGTGTTTTTGGCATTTTAAAACTGTGAAACAGCTTTGCAGATGTACATCTAACGGTTAGTATAGTCAGTTGTGCAGTAAAGGGGACATTAATTTACATAAAATATTGGGTTTTAAAATCACCTGACGCTCTGGCTTCGCCCGGTTGTGGTGCCGGTTGTGATTGCATAATGAGGTTCACTTGGCTGGTGTGAAAGTGAAGACCCCGGAGCCCCCCATCCCTATGTAAACTGATCCTTAGCCCAAGCTTGGGGACAAAACATCTTTGTGGTTGCCACTTATCGTTTAATCAAGTGATCACTCTTTTTAATTACAGTGTCATTTCATAGCCTTCAAGTGCAGTGTTGAGCACTTTTTTCCCTATTATGGACGCCGTGGACGCCATCTTCATTTTTTTCATAGCGCCAGATGCCATTTTGAATTGCCATGAGATACCGGAGTTAGTTAGCCGAAGACAGTTTACCATGATTAGCGTCTACAGTGCATCGTCTCCACTTACCATACATTAAATTGATTATTTATTACTGCCTTTTACAGATAAAACTCGTGTTCGATATTCTCAACGAGAGAGCACCATTTTAAAGTGCCCCCAAACATAACCGCAACAGATTTACGAGACCGAAGCTTTACTGTTGTTCGAATTTTCCGTTCCACCTTAAATGGTGACTGTAATTGCTGCGCCACTTAAGGTGGAATGGAAAATTCGAATGAGAATCAAGCTTCAGCCTCGTACATCTGTTAGTTATGTCTGTGAGCACTTTAAAATGGTGCTGTATCTTTAGATCTCTCATTGAAAATACATAACTGTAACGACTGTACGAGGCTGGAACTGGATTCTTATTCGACTTTTCGTTCCACCTTAAACGGTGAACGTAACTTTTGTGTTGCAGATTGGTCATTAACAGCTGCAGATGTGTAGCTAACTGACCCAGAGCGCGTGTGTTGGCAACTCTTGTCAAATCTACCTGACGTTTCGTATCAGGCTGTCCAGTAGTGAACCTAGCTGGGTCGACGTTAATCTATACGTTATTACTTTCACACCTCCGGCGGGTCCATCGGGTTCAAATGAGTTGCCACGTTACATTAAGACTCTTTAACTATGTAAAACATTCCACTCAAGTGTTTAAATAGCGAAACGCTTTCTAATGTAGTCTCTAATTTAGCTTCTGCCCACGCTGGTCTAACACAGCACTGTCAGAGGTAATGGCGAAGTAGCTCATGAGTAATTATGATCACGTGGATGCTCGCGGCTGTGGGCGTGGCCTGCGGTGGGAGCCGTTATTTTTTTATCCCCACAGTTGTGATGGGAACCAGAGGTCGCCATGTCTGCAACAGTTTTATTTATTATCCAAACCCATCAGTGAACCTACACGTGTCTCCTGAGTTTCTATATGTAATGTTGATGGTAAAATAGTGGAAAATCTGGAAAAAAAAAAAAAGTTTTCTTTGGGGACTATTTTGCCTTACAACACCCCTGCATGTACTTCTCCGCCACGAATGGATTAAAATAGATATTTTAGGCCAAAGCTTTTATTACAAAACTGTCAAACAATGTCTCAGGCATCGAGCAGCATATTCATAACCGTTTTGCATAATAGCTTTCTGTGAGGGAGCTTTTAGAGGCATTAAAGTCTTCAGGCGTCTGGTTCCTATCACCACCACTGTGAATAATTCTGACTAGGTAAGTTTCTGTAGAACAGAGCCTTTCACTTCAAACCACTCTGAATGACTTTGTTTAGATTTTAGCCAATTTATTATGAAGAATTTTTGAAAAATTGGTGGAATTAATCTTCGAGACTAACAATGTTGGTGCTTTTTAGTCAAGATCCCTGATGGTTATTTATCATTAATGATTTCTTTCCCCCTCCTCCTCTCTCTGCTGAGGCAGCTGAGAGCTGATGTGGTCCCAAAGACTGCTGGTAGGTATCACTTCATTTGAGTCTCTTTCTACTTTACTCTCATGGTAGGAAAATAAAGCCTTTTAAATGAATCCGTTTTGGGTTGTACTGACTCCTGTTGGCTTTTCAAACAGAGAACTTCCGAGCCCTGTGCACCGGGGAGAAGGGTTTTGGCTACAAGGGTTCCGGCTTCCACAGAGTCATCCCAAATTTCATGTGCCAGGTGAGCTGTCAAAGCAAGATAATTATATTTGTCTCCATTGTTGTTGCTTTAGTGGACCGTCAGGCTGGCCTGGCTTGACTAGATCTGCTCCTTTAACTCTCTGCATGTTAGGGAGGTGACTTCACAAACCACAACGGGACTGGTGGCAAGTCCATCTACGGAGAGAAGTTCGCTGATGAGAACTTCACCCTGAAGCACATGGGGATGGGCACTCTGTCCATGGCCAATGCAGGACCCAACACCAATGGATCCCAGTTCTTCATCTGCACTGCTGATACTGCTTGGTAAGGATTCCACTGCAGTGTTTCCCCCTACTGTCAAAATGCTTCATGAAGTGGGCAAGTGTAAAAGCTGAATGTTGAGTTTTCAGATCAGTGGACCTCACAGAAAGATGTGACTGGGCAACATCTTCAGCCTTGCTTGCATTTTTATAACAGTTGTCGATATACATTTGGCTAAATGGCGACCATTTGAGAAGTCCATTCTAAGTTGCCCATGCATCTGTCTTTTGTCCACGAACAGGCTCGATGGCAAGCACGTTGTGTTTGGGAAGGTCGTCGAGGGTGTTGACATCGTCAAAGCTGTTGAAAAGAAAGGAAGCAGCGGCGGCAAATGCTCTGCCAAGATCGTCATCGCTGACTGCGGCCAGCTTTAAAGATTGCTGTCGCCTGACCCCTCTGATCATTTGCATTCTTTTGGTTTCCCCCCATTTTTTTTATTATTATTTTCTAAGCAGTTTCTCTCCTTAAGAAATACTTGTTCCATGTATCATGGCATCGTTTTCTGTATTAACAGCGAGTACATTTGTTTAACAAAGTAAATATTAAAGTTGGAACAAGATTCCTTATACGAGATTATTTTGTATGACTGTCTTTAAATTGATCACAGTATATTTCTTCAAGTGGTTTAGGTTTCTAAAAGCCTTCAAACCACAAAACATCATTCCTGTTCTCTAAGTTTTCTGGGAGCAAATATTATTAAATCTTGATTTCAGGTGTGCTGGTGTGCTATTGCAGTTCTTCCTGTTATCCAGTAGGGAGCAGCGTGAACAGTGTTAACAGCACTATACTTTAAAAAGAGATTCAGCAGTAGTTCTAGCAGGATGAGATGATTTGTCTCAATGCTCTTTTGCAAATCAAACTCTTGGTGTTTGACATTGTTTGTAATTCAAGAAACCAACCAGGAAAAAGTTTAGTTTTTTTCTTTTCTTTTTTTTATGCACTGTTTTCTCCCACAGATGTTAATGCCTGTGCAGTGTTATTCTGTTAAGCACATAGACTAGTGGAGCAGACCTGTGATCTCATGGAAATGAAATTCAGCTCCTTAAACCTGTTAATAAAATGCAGTGGGCTTTCTCACAAAACTGTGGAACACAGTTGATATGCAGTCCTGGGTTTGAGAAACCTAGCTGGAAAAAAAATGGTTTGGATTTAAATATAGTACTGACAGCAGGCCAAAATGCCAGCTTTTTGTGTCTTTAACATGTTCAGGTCAAAAGCCAACCCAGCTCACAAGCAGAACAGAATCTCAATTGTCTCAGAACAGTAAGTCCAAACCAATAGATGGAACTATTTTTCCAGCCAGCTCTGAATGTCTGCTGAACATTTCAGAACTGCAGTATCATGTTGGCCTTAAAAAAGCTAAAAATGCCCCTTGCAAAAATGGTCAGTAGTCCGTTAAAGCAGATGGTCATGGCAGGTATTTACACCAACTCATCCAGTATGCTGGCAAGCTGCTCCGCAGGGGCAGCAAGTGGTTTGTTGCACATGGGACAAACGGAGCGCACCTCCAGCCACTTCACCAGACACCTGTAGCACGGGCACAAGAAAGGCCACCATAAGAATCGCACCCGCTGATGCAGTGAACCAAGACATTTATCCCTAGGCATCATTAGATGCTCTGCAGTGGCATTTATGATAAAACTCTTCCCCTGAGTGTTCATTGACTTTGCATTTTAGGAAAGAAGGCCCTGACAAGTCTGTTTAGTGCCTTCAACACCACTAATGTATTTCACATCTACCTTAGTGTGATTTCTGCAAAAGTACCTTTTGTGAAATCCATGTTGACATGGCAACATCCCGAGCTCATCTTTTATCCTGTAGTCCTCCAAACATACAGCACATGTTTGCTGAGACGGAAGAAGGAAGCAGGGTGAGGACGGAAATTTGAAATGCAAAGTGAGCAGCCCAAACAGATGTGATGTGTTATCATATACAAGTTTAAAAGAAAACACTTACCCCCACAATATTCAGTTGCTTTGTTTCACCTTGGAATACAACCTGGAAGAAATAAAGGGAAACTTGAGGGAGTTTTACGCAGGTGATTTTGTCCTGTCACTTAATAAACACAGTACAGGCTGTTGTAGTGTCTGAAATCTCCCACTTACCACTTTGTAGCCAAAGCTCTCGCAGTGGGCTTGTTGTCGCAATTTACTGGAAGGATGCAGCAACACAATGAATCATGAGGACGGGAATGCAGAGAACTGACATATAAATAGACTAATCTGGGCCAAACCACTGCACAAAAATGCCTGTTGACAGACTAGCACCTAGTCCTGCAATCTATCTGGTCAAAAGATTGAAAAACATTTGCGGGAAGCTATTCTATGTAGTTTTATGTCATAGATGTCTATTTTTATGTTTTCAGAACAAAATCCAAACCATGAGTATTAAGCAACATTCAAAATAACTGAGAATTGTCTCTACATCTCAGATTCAGCCCGAAGTAGCACCTCTTTGCCTTTATAAGATCTTTATTCATGAGGCATTCAGCTCAGCTTCGGGAAGAAACCTTCAATCATATTTTGGCAGACTTTAAACCCACTTGGCTAAAGATGTTATAAAAAGGCAAAGAGGAGCTACTTCGGGCTGAATCTGAGGTGTAGACAACTCATTTATTTTGAATGTTGCTTAAAACCCATGGTTTGGATTTTGTTCTGAAAACCTGAAAATAGACATTCTGACTGAAATGCTTGCTTGACCTTTTTTGTTTTTCATTTGAATTTTATCTTGAAATTAATTCATTTTGGATTATCTAATTATGAAAAGACAAAAATGACATACAATGAAATTTTATATAATTAAAGACAAGTTTAAAGCATTGATAATCATAAAACAGTGGTTTCAAGCATGTGTACAAACATTATTTTTCACTTAGCTGGCAACACAAGTACTGTAACAAAAGATTAATAGAAAGCTACCCTTATAAACTGTATTGCTCTGTTTCAAGAAAAACAAACCATTGATTTCAGACAAACAGGCGCTTTTTTCTGTTCCTGCGCATTGATTTGGTAAACGAATGTGGAGGGGAGTGGAGTGAGGGGGGTCAGAATGCTAAAAATAGCACCAGGAACAAAAAGAGGGATGATATGATCTGCTCATGAATTGTTTGAGACAGGAAGTACTTCAGGCCAGAGGAAGTCCTCTCTGCCCCGGGCTTGCTGTCCATCAAAAGCATTATTCAAATGACAAGAGTTTGTCAAGTGGGGGAGGGACAACAACAACGAATTCACTCCTCACTACAGAACAGAAATGTCAGTGACTGTGCTGTGAAATATCTGTGATCTTGGGCACGTCGTTGTTCCAGAGCTGACAAAGCCCAAGATGTACATACAATCGACTACTAACTGTTATGATACCTTATGAAGCAGCAGCAAATGATCAGACTCAAGATGAAGACGGATATTCCGGTGCCGAAGATGACCATATAGATGTTCAAGAAGAGATCCTGGAAGGCGACTGAAGGCATAGTGCACTCAAAGTGTATCATCCCCTGAATGTTGAGGTGCCCTGAAAAAGGCAAAGAACACAAACCGTTCAGATTTGTGGTGCAGACTGCAATTCATTTTCAGAAGTGGTGAAAATTTCATCCCTGACATGTTAACGGTAATAATATTGATCAGCAAACGTATGAATACAGCTGTGGTCTGTGTTATGAGGCATTTAGGATGTAGACGAAAATCTTTGCCGAACAGAGTTAGAACCGATTTCATTCACAGCGTGCCATGAGACTGTCATCAAACTGGTGGGGGTACACACTTAAAAATGTCCCTTCAAGGGTTCTATAGCAAAGGCAATGGCTCTATTTAGAACCATGAGTTCTGCATAGAACCATTTCATGCTTAAATGGTGAAATGGTTCTTCAGATTGATGGAGAAAGTGTTGTATATGGTTCTGTATACCACCAAAAAGCGTTCTTCTATTGTAATGATGTCAGGCTTTTGTTGCTATATACACTCTTAAAAAAGTTCTCCAAGGGTTTTTTATAAAGACAATGGTTCTATATAGAACCATGGACACTCAAAGAAACATCTGCATGATTAAATAGTTTATTGCGTGGCGAAGTGGTTCTTCAGACTGACTGAGAATGTGTTGTATATGGTTCTATATAGCACCAAAAAGTAATGTTACAAACTTGACATCGTAACAATAGAAGAACCCTTTTTGGTGCTATATAGAACCATTTTCAAAAAAAAAAAATAACGTTTTACCAGGCAAAGAACCATTTAACCATAAACCCAATGACTTTGCTAAAGAACCTTTGAAAAAAGACTTTTTTAAAGGTGTAGAACCATTTTCAAAAGGTTCTTTATAGAACCGTATACAACACATTCAATGTCAATCTGAAGTTTCACTTTACCAAATGACAATTTAATCAAACCATTGAAATGGTTCTACATAGAACCATTGACTTTACAAAAGAATCCTTGAAGAAACATCTGTTTTTAGAAGTGTAGAACCATTTTCAAAAGGGCTCTATATGGAACTATATACAGCACATTCTCCATCAATCTTAAGAACCATTTCACCATGCCAAGAACCATTTAATCATGAAATAGTTCTTGAGTGTTCACGATTCTATAAAGAACCACCTTCTTTACTAAAGAACCCTTTAAGAAACATCTTTTTAGGTATGTAGAGCAGCCAAAACGCATACTCCAGTATTTGTTACCTCAAAGAAAGCACGACTCGAGTAGAAATAAAAGCAGTTTGTACTGAGTACTGAAGTACTGAGGGCCATATAGAACTGCAGCAGAACTTACATCCAGCATCTGTCAGCATTAGGCACTGAAGCTAAGGCAGTGAGCACTGTGAATGACTAAAAACTAAAAGTGAAATAGAAAAAAAGTAGTAGTCCTTTCCTCACATATATACTTGTGTATATACTGTCATTTGAAAACACTAAGCAGTGCACATCAAAATTAGCCCAAGTCTGACTTATGTACATGTAAACCTGGTTGACTGAACCAGTTACCACCCACATCTGGACCCTAAATACACCTACGGCAGAGTTATAACATCTTCCAACTTCTTTAAATACCACTCTGAATTTCTGACTATGAAGATTAAATATAAGGCTACCATAAACAGGCTGGAGTTCATACACTGTGCTGACACTCTCGAGTCTGTGTTCCCTCATCGAGTCGACAGGTAAACTATTAGAGAGTAACTTACAGTACAGAGACCAGCGCATTCACTGTCACGCATGTTGGGCTATATGACTTCGAAACGCTCACCATTATCGCTGAATCTGATGAAGCTGGTCTATATTCACGGCCAAAGACTTCAGGTATCCTCCAGAGTAATGCATTCTACAGTGAAGGCAGTATTTTTGTATTTTTCTTCACTCAACAAGTCTCCTTTGGCATCTGAGAGACCTAAGAGACGAAAGAAGTCACGTCGCCTCAGCCTGCTGATGATGCCACCGCTAATTTGCGATACTGCCGTGTCAACTGGCTGGCTGAGTTACCTTGGAGACCCTATGGCGACAAGTCCCGCCTCCTGCGCTACGATTGGCTGGATTATCCTCACAAGCAGAGCGGATTGGCTAGCAGTTCGAGCTCACAAAGCAAGTAGCCAATGTTATGCTTTTGAGCAAATTTAGACGTCTACGATTTAAAAATACTTTAAATGATACAAAATTTTACTTACATTAAAGGACTTTTATAAGGAAGACAATAAAAGTAGAGGTAGAGGAGAAAAATCTCCTCTATTCCTCTACTTGTTTCTGGCAGTAGGCCGATGTCAAAAAAATTGCCTCAGAATTGCGAAATAATAACTCATTTTCTCAAAACGCTGACTTAGTATTTCACAATAACATTTTTCCTGAGATTTTAAAATTCTGTGCTGACATTATTCATTATTGACAGTAATCAAACCAATCAAATTAGTTTATTTTGACATAATAAGTCATTGTTACAAGATATAAGTCATTATTATTTTGAAGTAGTCATTGTTTCAACATAGGAAGTGAATATCTCGAGAAAATAAGCCTGTTTAAAAAACATTAGTATATTCTATGCTGGTTTAAGCTGGTCACTCAGCATGATCATGCTGGTTGACCGGGATAACGTACAGGATGGTAAGTCATTATTCTGGAAAATAATAAATAATTTTGAAATACTAAATCAATGTTTTGAGAAAATAAGATACTGGTCAACCAACATGACCGTGATGGGTGACCAGCTAAAACAGCACCAGATCAACATAAACCAGTTGAAGAACTGCCAGTTGAACATCACTGGTTTATATAGACTCTAAGCTAATATAAGATGGTAATTATTTTTTAATAATGGCCACATATTGATATAGAAAATTTTTCATGGCTACAAATGAATATATTAAGTCATGGCCTCCATAGATTAATTCATGGCCACAAGAAACTTAACTGTGACCATGAGTTAGGTTACTTTTGGCTATGAATTAATATATGGAGGCCATGAGTTAGGTTTCTTGTGGCCAAGAATTAATATTTTGAGGCCATGAGTTAAGTTTCTCATGGCCACAAAATAATATATTGAGGCCAAGGGTTGAGTTTCTTGTGGTCACTAATTAATACATTGAGGCCATGAGTTAAGTGTCTTTTGGCCATGAATTAATATATTGAAGCCATGAGTTAGGTTTCTTGTGGCCACGAATTAACATATTGAGGCCATGGGGCCATATGGCCACAGCTTACTAAAAATAATCACCATGTCACCTTAGGGGTTCTGCCTCTAACAAACTTGCTTTAACTGGTTTATACCTCATATTTGCTTTATAAATGGATGTATTCTGCCTTCACTACAGTGGGCTGAGGTAAAAAGCTAACTGGCTAACAGGCTAATGCTACAATAATAAAAAGCAGATTTCAAGTTTAAGCCTTTAAAGAAAGAGTTACTTAAAACCGAAACATACAAATGAATGAATGAATGAATGAATGAATGTCTGTTTTTAAACTAGAGCTGACATCAAAATCCAATATAGCGCAGAGCTAAAGCCCAATAGCTTGACGCTAACAGTAACATGGCGAAATATGAGGAGCACCCAGCTCTCAGTTAAAGAGCTGAAATGAAAAGACTTTATTAATGTAAGTAATTCGGTATAAATGGACTCCTCTGACTAAAGTGTTTCTCTCACGTAAAGATGATATTTTTATTTATTCTCACTTTTCTATGATGTTAGGAATATTGTCTGTTGACACTCCCTGGAAAGTTCCCTGGAAGTTCTGTCCATAAGTCACTCAAAGTATCATGGGGCACAGGAATAAGATGGATATGGAGTGTTAACACAAATACAAAGTAAAATGTTACCTTCAAACTATAGACTATCATAATCCTTTAAGCTGTTAAATCATTTTGGGGTTAAATCATTCTGGTCAACATAATTCACAACACAATTCTAAGTTTCTTGTGAGAAACAATGGAATTAAACAGGATCACTAAAATTAAACAGGATCACTAAACTTAGTAGGAACAAAACTTTCCACAGAAATCTAAATCAACACAGAATTATTTGTGTTCCAGTAACAAAAATGGATGTGATGTCGAAGATTGTTTATCTGGAAAGAGGATGTGCAGACGGGAATTAAACAAAGATCAATTCTAAGTAATATCCTCTGCTGAAAACCGACAAGCGGTCCAAAAATGTCTATTTCTGAGAATGGAGTCACAAAACCCATAGCCAAAGAAATATATCCACATACTGTACTGTTCAAAAGTTTAAAATCATTGTTTTCATTCATATAAAACCAATTTTGTTGGAAAAAAACATATATATATATATATATATATATACATACAGATATATATATATATATATATATATATATATATATATATATACAGATATAGATATATTAGATATAGATATACAAAAATGATTCTAATATGAAGCTAGTACTCCAGAACTCTACAGATTTCCACTAATTCGAAGGACCCTTTAAAAAATCAAGACATTTGAGATGTGTTCAGAATGATAAACAGAGCTGTAAATGATTCCACATAACATTGGGAATGAAGCTATAATACAATTAACACTCAGAATGCCTTATATTTGAAAAGTTGTGTGCAGATAACTTATCAAGAAATGACTATAAATAGATCATTCTAGTATGTGTTTATCATATAAGAACCACTTAATGTTCCCATAAAAAATATTTGGGAAATATTGAATAAAACATCTCAAAATACCAAAATAAAGCTTATTTGTACATATTTGTATAAAATAATTATCTAAACAAAGTATTTCAGTCTATACTGTATATGATACAACATTTATTATTATGACTTCAAAAAAGATACAATACAGTCCTGTGCAAAAGTTTTGGCACCTCTTTCTTTTTTTCCCTCTCCTAATGTTTGTGTGGTTTATGTACCAAAAATTCATTTTACACGACCATTTTCCAACCTCTGTTTATCAATTAGAATTAAACATGCTGTTTTTGTTACTGTGCCTTTAAGACTGATATATGTAAATAAGATCTGTTCTGATTGGCTGCCTTGTATTGCACTTCTTTCAAAAAGCAGACCAGCTTGAAACATTACTTATAACTTAAGTGTGAATGACAAGATCTAAGGCCAGCCTGAATAGGTGGATATGTGTAAATGCGCTGTTTTTCATGATTTCAGGGAAACAGTGAATTTAAAAGATGCTGTTGTTGTAGCTTGTTATCTATATATGGACTGAGGAGTGAACAATATGTTTTAAAACTTGAACAATGTTTATATACTACACCAACCGGCCACTTCATTCGGTACACTTACACTCATTGTCTATTTTATCAGATCCCCTTTACCATTTAGCTGCACTTTGTAGTTCTACAGTTACAGACTGTCCCATCTGCGCAGCACACTCTTTTACCCCGTTCTCAGACACAGCAGTGCTGCTGGTGTTTTAAACACAGTGTCCACTTACAGTCCACTCTATTAGACACTCCTACCTTGTTGGTCCACCTTGAAGATGTAAAGTCAGAGACGATAGCTCATCTGCTGCTGCACAGTTTGTGTTAGTCATCCTCTAGTCCTTCTTCAGTGGTCACAGGACGCAGTTGGCTGGATATTTTTGGTAGGTGAACTATTCTTAGTCCAGCAGTGACACTGAGGTGTTTAAAACTCCAGCAGCACTGCTGTGTCAGATCCACTTGTACCAGCACAACACACAGTAACACGCCACCACCACGTCAGTGTCACTGCAGTGCTGGGAATGACACCCACCCACCCACACACACACACACACACACACACACACACACACTTATACTATACATGCAAAGATATAAAATGTATATATATTTAGTATTTTATGCCCTTGATTATCATGCCAAGAAAAGAACTTACATGTCAAGCGATTTATTATGGAAAAAAGAGTGTGTTGACTTCATTTGATTGAAATGCGTAAATCAGGGGTCGCCGATCCCAGAGACCAGTGTCCAGCACAGTCCGGTGACCGATTCAACTTATATATTAATTGCCAGGTTTAGTCGGTGTGAATTACCAAGCTGTGCTTCAGCACTAGAGCTGATGACCCCTGATGTACATAATCTCCAAATGAGTACAATTTATTACATCAACAGAATGATAGCAAAAGGCAGGTGAACTAAAGGCAAAGCTGTGTTGATGCATCATATTTTAGTCATGCAGAAGTGATGTACACATTTCAGTCAAGTAACAAAATAAGCAAAAAATAAATTCTACAAAGTTGCCATAGTAGTTAGTTCACTCTGGACACAACTGTCAGTGCAATTTTGTCCCATATGATACATTACAGCTTTTCCTAACTCCACCTGTTTTAATATATTCCTGCTTTAAGACTCCAAATGCAGCTCATGAAGGACTTGATGGACTTGATGATGCAGCTCAAGCAGAGAAAGAGAGCTAAACCGGACTTTAGGACTGGAGTTTGGAAACTAGTATAGTCAGAATGAAAAGCGCAATGTTTTTCTAACACTGCCATCCAGTGGTTGTGCATCCAATTGGCCTGACTGCATGTCTTTGAACTGTGGGAGGAGGCCCACACAGACACGGGGAGAACATGCAAACTCCAGAAGGGACCCTGGCCTCCCAGCCGGGGAACTGAACCCAGGCCCTTCACGCAAAAATTGCAGTCAGAATTTTCCTCTCCTTGACATCTAGGTATAGTGCTGTGACAAAGTATTTACCCCTTCTTGATTTTCTCTATTATTGCATATATGTCACAGTGATCTTTAAACAAAATGTAATATTAGACAAAGTGAACCTTATTAAACACAAAAGACATTTTAAAATGATTGTTCAAAGGAGCAAAGTTCTCCAACATGCAAAAAAGAATTACCACCTTAAAATGAATAACTTGTCAAATTAACTGCTACCCATATTTCCTATCACTTGCTATCATAATTTCACATTGTTTTGAGGCCAGTGTTGGGCTCATTTAAAGTATGAACTGCTCATTTGGGGCTCTGCCTAGACTTTGACTAGGC